TGCTCTGCCTCTCTTTACCCAAAGCTTTGCTTATGAACCCTTCGGGGCCTGTGTCTGGAAGGAGGGGTGCTGTGGAACCAGGCACACCTGTGTTCTGTACTCTGAGCCCCTAATTGAGCCAGCCTGTGGTCCATGTCTTCAGGAGGCTGTCGTTCTCCATCTGAGAAACTACCCATTTCCAAATCTCTTTCCTCCCATCCTTCATCTGCTTCATTCCCACAGGCGAGAGGGAGACTAGGCCCCATGGGTGTCCTTGAGCTACTTGCATCCATCACAGCTCGGACAGGTACTGCGAGACTGAGTCTGCAGGTACAGGCCTGTCTGTTACAACCATTCTGTTATCAGAGTTTGAGCTCTGAGCCTGGTCTGGTTCATGCAACTCCACATCATCCTCAGTGTCTGAGCTATCAGTCCTACCAAAACAGGCCGCTTCTTATACACGCTTGGGAATCTTGCCGGAGCGCGCACAAATAACATTTATAACTTTTGCAGTGAAGACAGATGAAAAGAATTCATTAGATCCTTCACAATCTTTTTGTCCTCCTCTTCTGTGGATTCAGTTGCAATTGCTGTGGTTTTATTGTCTTATGTTAATTTTTTTCTCTTTCTTTCTTGTTTTGTGTTTTTAACTTTTGTTAGTCTCCCAGAGAGCTGTGGCTATTGGGCAGTATAATAAACAACCAAACAAAAAACATTCCTTTAATTCTATTGTTGTACAGTGGTTCAAATGCCTGCCTAGTTGATTTTCTGTTTCTAATATATTTAAAGAATTCTTTGTGCTTGGCCTTCTGCCTGCAATCAAATGGGAAGCTAGGCACACCAGTTACTTTGCCCTGACTACCATCATACATCAGAATCTAGTTTCCAAAATCCAAGGCTCAGCTGTATCTTCCCATTACCTTTTATGAAAATCAAATGCTTTGCTGAGATGTAAATATATTACATTTCACTTATAATGACTGGAAACAGAGCCATTGTTGGAATTCTGTACTCAGAGTTGTCCAATATTGAGAATAGCAGACCACAACTAAGATTATGTTGTTGTTTTGTTGTTGTTGAGAGGTTGCTATTTTAATGAAAATATGAAGATGAGGTGGTTTCTATGTAATGACTGGTTCTGAATGGGTTGTGGAGGTAAAATCACTGGATCAGGCAGAAAGCTTTCATGTTTAGTTGCAGCATTTTAAGGAAGTTGTATTTGCCATCTACTAATTTATTGTCCATAATAGCTGCCATAGCTTCAGAATGCAAGGTTCTCTGAGTTTAGTTTAAATTCAGTATTGTGAACAAATGAGGTGTCTGAAGCATTTGTTTGTTCAGTGTTTCAACTGTTGTCACTCAAGGTGGTAGAGGAGATTCTTGAAGGTCTGAGGCCAGCGAATTTTCACTATCTGCATCCTGGATAGAGAAATCTCCCAGGTCCAGGTTAATTTTGCTCTTGACAGCCATACATTTCTGGAGGATGGCTGCTTCCTAAGGTGCTGAAGGAGGTTGCATTTCATCTGTTTCTGAAAATGGCCCTGCATATAGCTGGGCTACCTAAAGAAAAGTTGTCATTCCCTTTCCCCCAACGTTTTTGAATTCAGTGGGCAGTGGTAGGACAGATCCATGCATTCTTGCATGGGATGGATTTTCTGGACCATATCATTTGGGGAGCAGGATTCAGTACAGAGGCTACATTTGGTTGTCCTCTTGACAATCTGAATTTTGAAATGAACAGAGTGTTACTGGACTTGTTCTCAGGCAGGAATACGGAACCAACTTATGGCCTCCATGATGATTGCTTAGACTAGAACTGTGTGAGAAATCCATTTGGGAATGGGAATCTGTCTGATTTTCTGGGCTTGGCTCTCTGGGCTCCATTCTGCTTTGTGGCAGCCCTGCATCATTGGGTGCTTTCCAGGAATTGAGCCTCATGTGCCCTGCAAGTGGAACCCTTCTTCCCAGTGCCAGCAGTGGGTGGGTAAGAAGGTTGGTTGCTGTCAGCGTTTGGGGTGTGGGTGGTTGACTAGCAGACAGGAGCACCAGGACCTGGGCAAACGGGCTGTGGCACAAGGGCCTGTCCAGAAGCATGGTCAAACAGTCCAAAGGTCAGAGCTGGGAATTGAAGCACAAGGCAGAATCCGTTCAAGAGGCAAGCCTGGTCAGACAAACCAGGGCTCACAAAACAGAAGATAAGCTAAGAGAAGCAGGTACCTTGAGGGCTGGAGCAGGAGAAGGCAGAAGGAAGGGCCAGGAAACTAGGCAGGGTCTAAGAGAAGGCACAGGATCATGATCATGAGCACGATCAGGCAGGGCAGGGCAGGGCAGGGCAGGGCCACAGGGAGAGTCCACAAACCAGAAGCACTTCAGAACCTCAAGAGACCTTTATTGCTGACACAACTTCTGGGGTGAAGAGCCAGTTCTTATATAGCTTTTCTCCCAGGGCCCCCAGGTGGAGCTCATGAGAGCCCTGCAGTTGATTGGGGTAGTAATTCTGCAACTGGGGGCACCTGGTGTGCCCACTTGCAGCACCCCTCTCCCATGTCTTGTAGCCTCTCCTGACAATTGCTGGTTGCACAGCCATGGGTTCACAAACATTTGTGGACTTCCTCTTAGCTTAGCTTGCTTTGCGGGATCAGAGTGAGCACAAAAGGAAGCCTGTGGGTGCTAGAGGGGTAGATTCTGAAAGGGTTCATCCTGCCCTAGCCCTAGCCTAGATCCCATTCATGGATGCATACAGCATTCCAAGTTGATATCTCAGAGTCCAAATCTGAACTGGAAAAAGAGGTTGGAATTCTTAGCTGATGTGCCAATGGGCAGAGAGCTCTGAGATAAGCCAAGTGACTGGTGAGAACCAGTCTACCTCTGCTTCTGGGAAAAAGGCAGTGTTGCACAAGCAGGGCTAGAGAGGAGGAGATATAGCATATTATCCCATTGTCCAGTGCCAGCATAAGAGAGCAGGCCAAATGAGTAATGTCTGGCAATCCTGCTGTCTGGCTCACAAAAGGCAGGAACCTCCCTGAGGGTGTAGCTAATTCTGTTTGGTTGGGAAGGGGGGGGGTTCAGCTTGGAATCAACTTCTTGGCATAAGCAATAATCTCCCTAATTAGCTGGCTTTCTAACTTAATGGATGTCTTTTGCTAAGGACCTCTGCAATAGTCCATTTGTACCTCAAAGGCAGCCTAGCAGGCCTACTTCAACAAAATAAAGACTGTAGTAAGAAGCCTCTTGTCTTGATCGGCTTAGAAGGAGAAAGTGGGGAGGGACATCAGCTCCTGGCACATATTTTCTGTAACAGAACTTTACTCACAGCATATACATTCCACAACCTAGTTTTTTTAAGCCTTCATTTTCACCAATGGAAGCTTTGTAAATACCATATTGAACAGGAAGAATGCATTTTCCAAGGGGTGGGTCATAGTGTTAGGAATGAGAGAGGTAGTTTGTTTTTCCTCAGCAGCAAGCTCCATGCACATGTCCTTCATGTTGTAATTAACATCTGATTACATTGAGGAAGAGGTGATAATTTAGAGTGCAAGAGTGCAAATATTAGGGTAGAGAAAACAAACTGTTTCTTTCTTAGCAGCAAATGTCCCCAGTAATTACTCCCATGCTGCAATTTTTTCAAAAATATTGAATTGGCACGAGGAGCAACTAATGAAACTAGAGATCAGGTACTTTCAGGTGAAATGTGATATAAGAGATTTGGGTCAGTGGTGCGGGGAGAAGGCATTGCTTAAACAGAAGCCTGAAGATCTGATAGAGACATTATTCCAATCTTTCAGCTGCTCTGGCTCACCGTTGAAGTCTGGGCCCAATTCAAACTGCTAAAATTAACATTTAAAACCCTAAACAGCTTGCAGCCAGGTTATCTGAAGGAATGCCTCATCCCTTATGTACCTACCTGGGCCCTAAGGTCATATTCTGGGGTCTTTATCCTTGAGCCCCCTCCAAAAGAAGTAAAGAGGGTGGCTACCAGGAGAAGGACCTCATTGGTTGTGGCATCCCATTTATGGAACAAGTTCTCCAAAGAGATATGCCTTGTGCCCCCCCCCCCCCCCCGCTCTCAGTTTATATGCTGTTTTTGTTTTCCTTGTTATATGTTTTTAACTTCTGTTAACCACCCAGAGAGCCTTTGGCTATTGGGCAGTATAAAAATGAAATAAATAAATGGCAGTAATTCTTTTGGGACTTTTTTCTCAACCAGGTATTTTCAGAATCCACAAATTGTTTTGTCTCTCAGTCAATCAAAATCTCTTACACAGATTTTGAAATCACCAAATGATAAACAGCAATGTACCTCTTCTGACAACTGCTTATGATCTAGTATTTGAGCTAATTTGGATTTTCATGGAAAGCCTTTGGACAGAATGAAGGATCATATATTTCTTGTTCTGTGGAAGGTAATGCCTTTGAAGGCCAGATTTTCTGATACACCAATGGCATTTTCATAATATGGTCTGTGACATTCCTTTCTGTCCTCAGTATTTTAACAGGTTTTTTAAAATCTTTTTACTAGCTTTGTGCAAATCTATGTCACACAATCTAGGTTCAGTTTCTGTAACTCTTGGAGGGCATCACACATGAGTCCTGAGTCCTGTAGAAATTCAACTGAAGTGATCTTCCCTTGTAAACAGTTGTACACGGATCTCTCTTTTTGTCTGTTGCAATCATTTTTAGCTGTAACTAAATGAAGCACCAGGGCTTCAAAATCTTCTCACATGGCAGATGATGAACTGAAATGGAAAGCTACCTACCTTTTGATTCGTATTTTTCTAACTGTTAATCATTTTTGTTCCAGCATCTTTGACAGACATGCTTTCTTTTCGTCTGAACAGAGAGCTGCTGTGGGTCATTTTAGACGTTTCTGCTATAACATACGCATATGTTAGTTCTTAATGATATTCTGAAGGGAAGCTTGAACTGATCCATCAGAGGTCATTAATGTTCCCTACAGACCTGAAATAGCTGTGGTTGATTAATTCATATTAGTAAACCTCATTATATTTTCCTTTCAGCTTTGGGATGCTGTTGATCGGGGCTGTTGTTTAAAGACATATTCTTGCCACTCATGTGCTGTTCGAGCTTTCCAGTGGTCCCCATGTGGAAGAACTGTTCTCACTGGAGGCTTCGATTACATGCTTCATTTAACAGACATTGAAACAGGTAAATACTATTGCTATTATGTGTTTGGAGATGGGGATGGAATAGATCCTGGGGAACATGAGTGAGACAATGCAGTTGCATATTCTGTGGTCACCTGGTTTGCCCCTGTAGCACCTCAATGCTGGACAAGATAGGGCTTTTCCCAGATCCAGCAGGACTCTCCTTAAGTTCTTATTATTGGCCCATTAGGTGGACCATCTAACAATGCATGGATGTTTTCACTGGCTCATTTCCCAGGCCAGTATTTTGTAATAGTTTTGTGTGTAGGTCAGCTTTCCCCAACCTGATGCCCTCTCATATGTCGAACTACAACTTTCCCAGGCTAGTCGTCGGAGGTACCAGGTTGGGGTATTTGAGACAAAAGCAAGAGAGAATTATCCCCAAATATGGAGGAAGTTACCTGACTTCCTTCAGGACCGAGCAGGAAGTAAGCCAAGAAGACGACTATTTATACAGACAATTAGACACCATGTTGGTATATGCGGTTATAATCAGTTCCTTCAGGTTTGCCATGACATGATTATTGTTCATCTTTTTAAAACCTCAGTTGTGGCTATAAGGAATTGCTTCATATATGGAATATAAAATCCATCAAGGTAATCTATCCATTACCTTGGAATATTCACAATTCTGGTTTTATAAAGCGTTTCCATTCCTGTATGTGAGTTTTATGGGTCTTTTTTGCTTGTAGTCAGATAGGAAAAGGATCAATGCACTGGCATTATTTTGCAGATAATTCATTTCTGCATGGTGTCTTCAGGTCAATTTCCTTTTCATAGCTATACTTCTGTGGTGGTTCTTCTCCCCTGTTCCCCATTATTATATCTTGATGCTGATCTTAACAGAAGCTAATGAACTAAATTCTTGGTGCTGTGACTGCAGTGCCTGGTGATACAACATCATTACTGCATTTTTAAAGCTAAGTAAATGTTTCTGTTTTTCTAAATCAGTATGTTCAGAGTCTATGAATTAAGAAGTGGCAAATATCCAATTCTGGTCTGTTTGTGCAGTTGGCAAGTGTGTAGTGCCCAACATAAATGACATATAATGCTCTCCTGGCCCTGCTATTGGACACAGTGAGACAAATACCTCAGGTGACAGATGCTTGGGAGGATACCAGCCTGGCTGGTCCTCTTGAGCCCCCCCCCCCCCCGGTTCTCAGAAAACAAAGCTATGTGTGCTGCACAGCCTCTTCTCTGAACCTCCCCAAATTATTTTGCTCTTCTCAGAGGTGAACGATGCTTTTCTCCTATCAACGTGGAAGCAATATTCAGCAGCTGGGCCCATTGGCTCATGTGTGTGGGGCAGGGTAGGGTGGGAGGGGAAGCACCATCTTGTTCTTTGATTGAGGCAGCAAATTATCTTGGGTGTGCCCTGAACATTGTATTTTATTATTTCAACTAATAAGCTAATTGAGAGCCAGTCCAGTGTAGTGGTTAAAAGCACAGAACTGGGATTCAGACAATCTAGGTTCCAGTCCCCATTCAGCTATGGAGCCAACTGTATAATTGTTTGTTTATATTTGTTGTAAGCCATCCTGAGACAATTAAATTGTATAGGATGGGATAAAAATATTCTAAATAAATAAACAAACAAACAAACAAACAAACAAACAAACTGGGTGACTTTGGACCAGTTACAGACTCTCAGTCCAACCTACCCCACAGGGTTGTTGCTGTTGGAATAAGATTGAGAGCAGGAGGAAGGGCATTATGTAAGCTGCTTTGACTTCATTGTAAGAAAAAAGGCAGGACATCAATCAAACAAACAAACGAATGAAGTAGGACACATTCCTATGTGTGTTCAGACAGAAAAAAGTCCTACAACTCTCAGCATGCTCTAGTCAGCTATGCTGGCAGTTGTAGGACTTTTTTCAATCCATGTCTTCACAGAATTGTGTCCTTAAAGTAGCACTGTAAATTAGCAAATTGTTTGAAGGGCATGGCCATGCTGGTGTCAATCCCTGGGCTAGGTTATTCATTATCTGTCAATGCAGCTGATCAATGCAGCTGAGCCATTCTACGGTTCAGTTCTGTATTGGTACTGAGTGCAGAGCAGCGTGATGGAGCAGTCCAATGCCACCCACTTGACAGATGAACTCTCAGCCTGGCCCCATGGATGACAACTCTGTAATTCTCCAAAATGGGTTGTTTTATACAAACCTGCTGAATACTTGAGGTGAGGTGTGACCATTGCAAAAGAGAGCGGAACTATAACTTTCCTTAAGGGCAAAGAAGGGCTTGATCTAAAGGACTTAAGCTATGGAAGAGTAGATTTTAACTAATCATCAGAAAAAGCTTTTTAATAGTAAAAGTAGTTTGTCAATAGAACCCATTTCCTTAGGAAGGGGCACTCTCCTCACTGGAGGACTCTAAGGGCAGCTCATTCTTTAGGTCATGCTCTCATAATTAGTTTCCCAGAGTACCGTTTTTTGGTGAAAAGGTGAGGTTCAAATCCAGTCCAGTCCCATTCAGTCCAATCTATTCCTGGATTGTTGGGCTAGATGACATAAATGGCTTCCGTGACCCCATTCAATTTTCCTTGGTTTTTGACTGCCTTTGGCAACATAGAATGATTGGAATTGTGGAGTTGGAAGGGGCCAGTAAGGCCATTGGGTCCAACCCCTCACTTAATACAGGTCTCCAAATTAAAGCATTCTGTGCTGCTATGTTGCATGTTTCGGGGATTTTTCCCTGTGGTATTTGTGTGTGTGTGTGTGTGTGTGTGTGTGTGTGTGTGTATTTGTGTGTGTGTGATGAAAGGGTGGGCTCAAAATAAACAACGTGGCCAATTCCCAGTTTGTTCTTCTTTATTATTACCTGACATTTCTCACAGATGGTCAGTAATGCTTTAAGCAAAGAAACAACTTGTTCTGGGAATCGAAAGTGGATACCTTCTCACTTGAAAAACATGAAGCCAGCTGGATGGATTAGGACTGTGTTATTTTACAGAAACATTTATTCACCTCTTTCCATTGCTCTTCATTGGCACAGAACTTATTTTGTCATTGATTAACTTCAGTTAGATATCCTCCAGCCAGGGGACTGGGAGAGAACTTGTTCTCTCTTAATTAATTCTTTTGTGCAAGCTTGGAAAGATTGTTCCTGCCTCCAAAAGAACTGCCTGTACAGTGCCAGCCCCTGGACTTGATTGTGGCCCTCTTCTCTGGAAGGATTCTGTGATTGGTTATTTGAAGACCCTTGGGGAAATCCAGAAATCCCCTGAAAACACCCTGAAAACAATGCAGTGATTACTAAGATTTGTCAAGAAAAAATCCCGTCGGGCTAATCTGATAGCATTTTTTGATCTGGTAACCTCCTGGTGGATTTTGGGAATGCTGTCGACATAATGTATCTTGACTTCAGCAGAACTTTTGACAGACTGCCCCATAATATTCTGATTTGCAAACTAGCTAAAAGTAGGCTAGATAGAACAACTGTCAAGTTGATCTGCAGTTGGCAATGGCACCTTCTCTAACAGGGAGAGGTAGCAAGTGACATACGGCAGTGTTGAGTTCTGGGCCCAGTGCTCCTCAAAATTTTTGTTAATTTCGCATCAGAGGGTGCAGAGATTGCTTTCTGGAGGACAGAAAGAAAATTCAAAGTGATCTTGATAGAGTGCTGGCCTGAACAAAACAGAATGAATTGTAGTAGGGAGAAATGCCAAGTTCAGCACCTAGGGAAACGGAACCAAATACATAGTTGGTAGTACTTGGCTCAACAATATCACAAGTGAGAACAATTCCAGAATTGTTGTAGATTACAAGCTGAACATGAGTCAACAATGTGATGTGGTTGCATAAAAAGGTAAGTGTTATTTTGGGCTTTATTAGGAGAAGTATCACTACAAAATCACATGAAGTGCTAGCTCTCTTCTACTCAGCACTGGTCAGACCACATCTTGAGTAATGTGCCGGTTCTGGACATTGCAGTTTAAGAAAGATGCAGACAAACTGGGAAGTGCTCAGAGAAGGGCAACAAAGCCCTATGAGGGGGGACTGAAAAAACTGAGCATGTTTATCCTTGGGAAAAGAAGACTGAGGGGAGATATGGCAGTACTGTTCAAGTATTTGAAAGCTTGTCATGGAGAAGAGGGCCAAGTTCTCTTCTTGATCATCTCTGAGTGCAGGACATGGAATAATGGGCTCAGGTTAGAGGAAGCCAGGTTCCAGGTGAACATCAGGAAAAGCTTCCCAGCAGTTTGATCAATATAGCAATGGAACCAATTACCTTGAGATGTCATGGACTCTCCTATGCCAGAGGCATTCAAGATACAGCTGGACAGCCATCTGTTAGGGAGTCAGCTGGAGTCCTGCACTGAGCAGTGGATTGGACCCAGTGGCCTTACTGGTCCCTTTTAACTCTAGATTTTGTAAATGGGGCAGAAGCACAGGATAAAACCTTGAATGCATGAGGCTCTGGGCAGGAAAAAAAAAGTCTGTATTAGAGCGAAGAAGCTCAGGAGTGGCTGGAAAGAGCTATGGAAAGGAATAAACAACGGAAGGTACAAACATACAGTAGGAAGGGAAAAGAGCCACTGTCTTATTAGAATTCCAGATGCAGAGAAATGGCTCCTTGGAAAGGCAGGGGAGGCCTTCTAGTGCAATCAGGTCACTTCTGCAGCAAGCTCAGTAATGACATCATTCTGATTCTACAGTAACTTATCTCTGGCAAGTGTAATTATTTAAGCATTGTGTCTGTTTCTGCTGCTACGTTCCTGCACCATGTACCTTCATCCCAAATCTGTCAGTTCTTATCTGTATTGCCCTGTAGGCATCCAGCCCGATCATTATCTTGCTCTGTGAGTGTTATTTCTGATACAGATATTTACCTGCATTAACTTATGAATATTGATTGATTTAATAATTAAATAAATAAATTTCTGTCCTGCACAATAGCCATCTGGTCCTGCAGCCACTTCCCAAAATCGCTCCGGGGAATTTTTGCCTCATTCTGCAGCCACTTCTCAAAGAAGTGAACCTGATCTGCCTTGAACGATCC